AGGCAATGAGGGTGGGGGTGGGGGGTGGGGGGTTGCAAAGAGACAAGGCCTTGTCTCCAAGTTTCATTGGATGGGTTCTATTAAAAAAAAGAGTCTGACCCAGACTGATGAGAGGAATTTATTAAATCAAACAGTGGGAACAAATGAGGTGGGAGTGTTTTCACTGCAACACCGTCAGGAGTCTTAAGACAATTAAATAAAACACGACATGTTAGATTTCTTCTCTTGAGCAACTTAACCTTAAATCTATATGCGATTGGGTGACTTTGCTAAAAACTTTTCCAAAATAAAGGGTAATTAAAACCTAAAGCTACTCGATGTCAGTAACAAACATCATCCATCCATCCATCTATTATCTTTACCCGCTTCTTGCATTTTGGGTCACGGGGGTTGCCGGTGCCTATGTCCAGCAATCACTGTGCGAGGGGCGGGGTACATCTTGGACGGGTCGCAAGTCCATCACAGGGCCACATAGAGACAAACAAGACAAACAACCATTCACTCTCTCACACCTAGGGACGATTACCAATCAGCCTAACATGCATATTTTTTGTTTTTGGTCTGTGGGAGGAAACCGGAGTACCCGGAGAAAACCCAAGCATGCACAGAGAGAGAACATGCAAACTCCACCCAGAAAGGCCCTGGACCGGGGTTTGAACCAAGGACCTGCTCGCTGAGAGGCAGCAGCTCAACCAGTTGCACCACCGTGCTGCCCGTAACAAACATCAGTTTCAGACAAAACAAAAACTAAATTTGATATATGAGCTTATTTAACATGTTGGACAGGCATGTCATGAGGGCGTGGCACCCACTTGGGTTCGGACACAAGCTGTGACTCCGTGTGGAACAGACTCATCCTCTCCTGTGGGACATTGGTCCACAGCTGTTGAATTTGGCACTTTCGTTGCATCGACTCGAAGTTGACATCCGGCCCCACACATGTTCAGTTGCTGACCGCTGGAAGACCTCAACATGTCCATTCATAGACTCATGCAGGAACGTGCACAGATAGATTTTAGGTGATTATAGAGCACCTGCTGTTTGCCCTCTGGACACTACACGTACCCTTTAAGTTTTTTTTTTTTTTCTTCAGTATGTGGTTTGTGGTGGTATTTCTGGGTTAAAAAGTATA